GCTAAAAGCTAAAATAAAACTAGCCCTTTAAAAACCAAAGATGGAGACAAGTGATTTTTTTGGGCATTCTAGACCGGTGCTTCTAACCATGCAACTTCATTTCTGTTATGTATCCCCAGCATGAAAACCCCATTTGCAGCAGTAACCTGTTCCTACCTGCATAAAGGTTATCAAAAGCTGGGGGGGGAGGGAGGGCGTGCCAAGCAAAGCAATGCTGTACAGAGACGGACCGTGAGACTGCAACAACTCCTTGCATGCAGCAAAGCATGAATGCTGCAACCAACCCCTCCCCATCCATAGCTTTAAGCTTGCGAAAAGAACATTTGAACCCAAAGCCAAGATCTTATGTAACAACAGATAAGCTGTTTTGTCAGCAAAAGAGGTCTAAGATCCACGGCAATGAGAAAAACGACAAGTGGCAGATCTAGAAATGAATGGGTGTACAGGCTTCGTGTTAATGCAAGTTAAAAAAAAAAAAAAATCACCTTTCAGCCAGTATTCAGGAAGCTCCAGGTTCCACTGTCTGCTCTGAGGCGCTCTTTAACAGGCAGAGAGCTCACTGACAACCAAAGGCCTGACGCTGATTCATTGCAACGTCTATTCCCACCACTCTCCTCAAGCTAAAAAGCCTTCAAAGAAGGTGAATACATAGCTGACCTTAATAGGCCAGAAGGCTTTTGGCTACGCTAGGGAACTACACGACAGCCAGCCTACCTCTGACGGCTGCTAAAGCCACCTCCTCTCTCGAGCAGCCTGAAGGAGCCATGTAATAAAAGCCCCATCCTCATTCCTTTATGCTGCTACCATGATGCAGGACCTTCACCCAGACAATCTACCAGATGAAAGGTTTCCCATACAGATCATCCTCAAAAAAGCAACCTGTATTTCTAGGCTCGCTTACAGCAAGACCAGTACCTGCGTGCGTGCATGCATATGTGCGTGCCTATGTGTGTGTGTGTGTGTGTGTGTGTATACGCTGCAGTGCCCCATCGTGTATGGGCACAAACTGCCTTTCACACTGAACCTTCTGGGCTCAACCACTGCAGGACATGATGAGAAAGGTATTTCCCCATTAAAGTAGAGAAATAAGTGAAACAAGCTTATTGCATACAACTCAGTCATGAAATGCATCTTCCATCAAATACCCTGGGTTGACACCACACTTTTCCATTCAAAGGTTTCTGGGCTGAGTGCCGGAAACAGACCCGTGCGGTGGCTCCTCCTGGTGCTACACACCTGGGTTTATTCTCATGGTTTGCTATCCATGAGAGATCACCTGCATGAAAACAAGCTGCAAATACTCTGCTACATTTAAGCAAGTGACCAAAGAAAAAATCCTAGCTATTTTGTAGGAAAAAGAAGCACTGAAAGACTTGAGAAGGGCAACTTCCAAGTAGTCTGGTTCAGTCAATACGTTATAGCAAATGAATCAAATCCAGCAGCCGTCCACGTCTGTTTGAAATAACCCTCGGGTAGCTATGTAACATCTAACTAAAGTATCACTGAAACTGGTGGGGGGGGGGGAAAACCCTCTTTTGCTGTTCATTTGTGCCTTGGGATGTTGTGCCCTTTCATTTGTGTCCTGTGTAAAGACAGAGGCACCCGTTCCTGGGAAGCTGTTCACTGTTCTTCCATTGTGAATGCAACGATAAGGGAAAGGAAAACATTTACAACTAGGAGACTGCATACAGAAGCCATAAAAACTGACAGCAGTGCTTCTAGATACCACCGTGGGACCAGCGAATTAACTAGAGCTTCTGCTGATGCTCTTTCATCTGCTGCTTCGTGCTGACAAAATGCAGTTTGCGTGTGGAGAAATATCTGCTTTTTCCCCAGAAACCTGTGATTGTTCATTAAAAAAGCCTGATCTTCATCGCTCATGACTTGTGAGGGTTGCACATTTGCCACAGTGCCTGATTCCTGTCCCCAAAACAGCAGCTATTACCACTAATGCTAATACATGAGCGAAAGCTAGCCAGTTCTTCGTGCCTATCAGCTTATAGAAGGCAAACTGTCCTGCCCTTAGTTTTTTGGGTTTTAAAGTGTGGATACACTCTCCTTCTGCGGCAAAGATGCCAAGATCTGCCAAAGTGGCGCAGGCGAAAACTTGCAGAGACAACACACACGTTTATGGGCTTTTTTTGTTGCTCTTCATGGAGACTGCTGTTCTTAGTGGGAAGAAGGAAAAGGCTAACCAGATGCTCAGCCCAGCTCAGGTCAATACACTCAGGTCAACGGCCAACTGTGGGCACAGCAAGAAATCTAAGGGCTATGTTGGGAAAAGAAAAAAAAACATCTTAGCGATTGCAACTCAAACCAGAAACTCAAAAAGAAAAAAAAAAAACAAACCAAAAAACAAGAAACAAATGAGGCCCATTTGTTCGGATGCAGTATGTTGACTTTTCCATTAGTGCAGATTACTATGCTTCTGAGGTCTTGGTTGGCCTTGGCTACTCACGACACTTTCGGCACTGCCCAGCCCATCTGCCTTTCCGAGCCTCAAAGCATCGCAACTTCAGTTCCACCCTTCGTGCTGCCTCACTTCAAGGAATCTCTGCATTTCCGTGGTGCCAAATATAGTACTCCATACCCACAGTCAACAATTAAAATGAATGACTAATTCAAACGTTGTAAGAATTAAAGCGTTAAATCGTTAAAGAGCGCAATTATTTTATGTTTTGATTACTCAATGGGCTTGCTTTTAATGCCACTGTTACTTAGTGACCAGAGAAGACACACAAGCCTTCACCCTTAGGAGCAACATCCTAGTACCGCCTCCAATTTTTGGAGGCGTGCATCTCTCTCTCTCTCTCTCTCTCTCTCTCTCTCCTGCTAGCCTCTGCGTGCACCTCTTTTGAATCTGAACATGTCAGCTGCACCAGGGGTTTTTCCCCTGCCCCCACTCGGAGTGTGTGTGTGTTACCTGTTCAGGACAAACCATCCTGCCCTTTCTGCCCTCACCTACATCACTGAAGCTGCTTCTGCACTGAAACACGCGTGCACAACACCACTGTCGGTTTTGTCCCCAAGTCGCTCAGCAATTCCGGCCCAACCTTGCAGACAGACCGTTACCCGTGCCTCAGATCCCTGCGAGCATTACCACTGGCAAACCTTCCTGGGATAGGGCTTCCAGGGTCTAACGACAACCAGTCCAGGTGGGAAATCAAGCGGCTCCTCCTGACCGTTCATATTTTTGTCTAGCAGGGCCTGAAACACCAAGATTGGGGTGACTAATCCGTGGTGCTCCCAGGAATAAGGGGGACAGGGCAGGGGGCGATGCTGTCAGTGGCTTATCCCAAACGCTGCACGGTACTGACGCTGAAAAGCAGCTCAACGCGGCAGGCTGAGGGCGAGAAGTTGTTTCTTGCTCCTTCCTCTGCTTCTTTATGACTAGAGGCAGCTACCTGTTCAGAGAGTTGGACTTTGGAGGAATGCCACACGGTATTTCCAGACCACGGGCTGTTGCTGCTTTTGTTGCCCGGCTAGGTCACCCAAAGGATCTTCACTGTAGTAGTACTACAGTGCAGAAACTGAAATACTGTTGTATCACCTAGGATTATCATCCGACAAGGGCGTTGACTTCCTCCCCTTTAAAAGCCTCGATGGCTGCAGACAGAGACAAACCCTCAAAGGTAGTTAACGCTTAAGATTTTCCACGGGTACTAGGTGCGCAAATGCTCTTACACATACGGGTCTTGGCACACCAGGAGCAAGACACGCGCATCGCTGGCCCTTACTCCTTCCTTCCCAGCTCCAGCCGCCTTCGGTTGCTAAAATCACCCAGAACGCCGGCTAGAAGATATTTCCAAACAGGAGCAGGAGGGCGGAGGGAGGGAAAGGAGGGGCGTCTACGTAAAAACTGTGGTGGACAAAAGCAGAACTAAGCGCGAGGAGACGGACTCCTACTTATTTACATTTCTGACTGAAAGCTCTGCGAGCCATGCACACTTTGACTTCTAAAACCTCGTATGCACTGTCCTCTGAGCCAGAGTAATCCTCCTGTTAGGAAAAAAAAGAAGTATTTTGCATTGTACTGCAAGCCCGAGCAGGACATTTTTCTCCTCCGACTCCTTTCAGGGCTTGCTCTGCTGCCCTGCACGTGGCAGCAGTAACAGCGGGTTGCTCTCTCCCTGCGGTCTCTGAAGTAGTCAAAGCACTGGCCTCTCACAACTGGTGGACACTGTTCCAAAGACTTGATTTGCTTCATTTTGGCATTTCCACAGTCATCCTTTACATATAATTCACTTTTTAAAATTTAAAAGTATTATTTTGTATTTTGCTGGTCGCTTCCATATTGCTTCATTCAAAATCCGGAAAACAGTTCAAATAAAATCAGAACTTAAGTGCAAACTAACTTTCCAGTGAGCCGCTATGTGCGTTTTCTCCAGTCCAGTGTCTTCCAGTTTAAAGGACCCTTCCCACCACCACCCCACAGAACACCAGCAGACTTCGCGAACCGTAATAAACTCTCCAGCCTCCATCTTGTCCTCAGTGTTGCCTGACAGCATCCCCAACTACTTTCATGATCACAAAGAAGAAAAAGAGGGAAGAATTTTTTTTTTGGGGGGGGGGGGATATTCGGCAGGTATAAAACAGGAAAGCAAAGCTTTTTGCATACAAATCCTGATTTCTTGGCCTTTTAGCTTCCAAAAGAGCGTGGTGGAGATGTGTTTTTGTTAACTGTTTTCTGAAAGGACTTTTGCGTTTACAGTATTTGTCGTAGTGACACATGTACAAAAAGGGTCGTGTCATGCACCAGAGTTCTGAGCTAAAGTCCCTGCTGTCAGGAAGTGGCACAAAATCATGGTGTGGCTCAGAATAAGGGGTCAGCCAGATATTAGAGTCACAGCATCATTTCTTGGAAGGCCACGATGAAGATCTGAATCATTATGAAAAGCCTGGTTGGCCGTTTTCAGTTGCTGGGGTAGAAAGTGTTAGAGACAGAAATTGGATACTGTTACGCTATCACACATGATATAAAAATTGTCCATTTTTTTTTTCCCCCCCCCTCTAACGGAAACTGCATCAAGATTTCCAGGAATGCTGAACAGACTCTCATCAGCTCCTGCCAAAAGAAACAGACTCTGTGCGACTTTCCCCACAGCGTCTGGGTTGGATCACTGAGAACGAGCTCGAGAGCAGGCAACACTGCCACTGGCTTTACTGGTATTGTCTGGCTTCTCTGACCGTCGGACCCGCCGGATCTGCGGCAAGTGAGAAAGGCCAGGCTGTACTCCTCCTTTCAGTCTCTTTCCTTCCTTCCTTCCAGGTTCCCAACCCAATCTGCAAATGACTCCAAGATGTCTTTTCACTTGGAAATATCAAAAATGAGGGAATGGGCAAGAAGAGGAAGCTCATGGGAGAAAGAAAGGGAGAGGAAGAGAGAGAAAGAGAGAGGCAGCTAGAAGGGGTCGCCTTTCCACTGCTGTAAGACCGCAGTTACTACACCACTGTGTTTCGGTGTCTGTAGGGTGGTGGGGGCAGCACAGTGCCAGGCTTCAGGGAGAACTCGGAGAGGTATTCGGGATTCTCTGCCACAATGGGCCGGATCCGTCCGTTCTGTTTGTAAAAGTATTTTGTGCTGTACTCTTGCAGGTAGTCCGGGTGCTGGAGGGTGCTTCGTGGGGGCAGGCTGTGATTCCAGTAATCAGGGTTGTCAAAGGCCTTCTTGGCTTTCTCTGGCAAATTGTTCTTGTACTCGGCGTTTTCCAGGGTGTTGGCAAACGTGTTGAGGTACAACGGCTCGTTCACGTACTCATCCTCTGCTTTGGGCTGCCCATTCGGAGCGCTGTGATACTCCGGGTTGTCCACAGCTTGGAGATCTCCGTTCTTTCGTCGGGAGACAAACGGGTTCTCTTCCACTGGGTTCAGGTAATCTACGAAAAGTTAAGAAATCAATCAGCAAAGAGGCGGAGTAGCCCATCCATGCAGCAAGTGCCATTTTTCCATTATTCTCACGCTATACCACCAGAGGCAGTACTCTTAAGTTGCCCGTCCTTCCACCTCCGCCATTCCTAGAACTCCCAGACAAGGCCAGGTGCCAACTCTACTGAACACACGCTTGGTAACAGTGAAGGATTTACAACCGAAGCAAACAATAAAGGTTGAACGGAAGAGCTGGGACGCCAGGAGATGACGTGAGTCATCAGAAATAGATGCAAAGCTGAAGACTAAACTGCAGCTCTCACTAAGCCACAGCCGAGCGGCTTGCCTGATCCTGGCTCTTCTCTCAGGGTATGAGATCTAGAGAGTTGAACACACAGGGCTACCGCTCGCTCGGCCGCTGACTCTCTGTGCAACCTTGGACGTATCGGTCCAACCCTCTGCTCTGCAGTCTTTCCAGCCAGGAAGCTTGCCATCCAGAAATCTTGGTTAAGCCTCTCTGCGCAAAAAACATCCCCAAGGGCTACCTTCTAAGACAGCTTCATTTCTAATAGAACAATTTGCCTGATTGAAAACCTTCCGTCCCTGAAGGACAAAGGGCCTTGGAAGCATTATGAAAAAAAGGATTCAAATGAGCCCTGGGAAGGTTACAATAGAGTCTTATGTAAGCACTGAACCGGGAGCCGGAGCAGGTTACAGTTGCCTTAAATGACTTGCTACGGACTAACGACACAAAAACAATTGTAGCTGAATTACAGAGAGGTTTTAAGGCATATGGCGTCTGCGTGGAAAGGAGGAAAGAGAGCCACCGGTGGGGTTCTCCAGGAGATTCAGCAGAGCATGTCCTAGGACAAATGCACATGTTCACTAAGGTCCCTCCAGGGGTCACGCACGGGCTACTGAGACGTGGTGCAAGGCACTTGCTGGGTGTCCCGTTCTGCCTTGCTCCCCGTAAAACAACGTCACGTTGCCAAACACAACCTTCAACTCTGGCTTTCTCCAGGAAGAGGCCAAAATCATTAAATGCAAGCGTTCAGGTCAGGCTTAGCGCGACTCTTTTGAACCCACAGCTAAAACTAAGCATGTGGCATTTTAATTAATTACTTTTCTTTAAAGCTATAGCAAAGGTTTGAAAGACAGTTACTAACGACACATCGCCGTACATCAAAACGACTGCTGGTGCTCTTTAAAAAGAAAAAAAAAAAAAAAAGGCACGAGGGCAAACTGGGAAACGTAGTACCCTAAGCTGGAACGTACCTAGGCAAACTTCACCTTACGGTGATGCTCCCTCTGAGGCACATCTTATCTTTTCACTCCTAGACTTCTCGCGGGTGTAAAACGCCAACTTCGTGTATCGGTTCTGTGACGTGCTCAATGTGACATTTACTGAGCACAATACCAGGAAAAAAAAAGATGATCAGTGAACAAAATAAAGCGGGGACTAGGGTTGGCCAAAGCAGAAACCTTTTCTTGAAAACTACCAAATATTTGTGTTTGCATAAGCAGCGTTTTTGTTTTCTCGTTTCCCTCTTGCTCCTTCCCAGAAACAAAGTTTAAAGGGGGAAATACCAGACTTGACACTGAAGGACGTTTGGACTTTTTAAACAAGAAAATTAAGCGAAGAAAAATGAATCCCATTGCAAAGAAGTATCAACCAAGGCAGAATGTTTCGCTCTTCCCGAGTCAGCTGATCAAGTCATTTTTAGCGAAAAGCTGCTGAGGTGGAAAAAGAGAGAACGCACTCAGACTAGAGGAGGGCCTTCTCGGAAAAGACAAACATTTACCTGCTTTAGGTTTGTCTCGCATCGGCGTCATGTACCCGTCCTCATCCAGCTCTCCCCGGACGACCCGCTCAGGTATGAACACCGTGGGATCTGCGCTGTACCTCTGGGTGCTGCTGTCCTCTTGTGCCAGGGCTGCCGCTTGTTTTCGCAGCGTGCCGTTACAGCAAGCGTCATCGAAGAGCTCCGCTGTGGCCCCCTGCGCAACGGGGGCTTCCGGTATGACGCAGCCAGGGGCTCTGTACGGCAGAGGCACTCCCTGCTCCACAGCATAGCCACCATCTCTGTACACAAACTGGTTCTGGGGGAAAAGAAAGGACAGCATGAGAAAGGAGGCTACAAAGGGACAGGCCACTCAAAAGCAAGTCATGTCGGCGGCTTCTGTAGCTCTCCTGCCACGTTTGCTCACTGCTGCGCTACCCCTACCTCTGTCCCCATTATCACCTCTGACCTCTGTTCATTGCCTGTGGGCCCGCTTTTAGTGGTCCTACCGCAACTATGACATGGTCACCCCAACTCTATGCAAGTCCATTAAGAAGCATGTTTTAGGTTGGCAAACTGCGTTCTTATCTGTACCTCAGCTCAAAGGGCTAGACTCAACCTACCGTTTTGCTTCTCAGCAAGGGCGCGCGAGGAAATTTCGACATCGTCACCTATAAATAGGAAGGAAAAACGGACAGACTCGACCATGCCTGCTGCCTAATGCTTTTTCAAGAACAGTCGGCAGTCGTTCTGGGTGTGGGTCCACAGAGCTTGCAGATGAATCCAGGCTGACCTCACAGGTCCGTGACTATTTACATGCACGTTTTATTCACTGTTCGCTTTCGGGCCGTTTACGGAGGGAGAACAGGGTTGGAAACAGTACGTATGCAGAGGAGGAAGGTGGAAAACCTAAGGATGAAGGTTGAAAGTGAAATACTTACTCCTGACATAGGGGTGTAGGCAGGAGGAGGGCTGTGTCCAATTTCACTCTAATAGGAAAGAAAAATGGAATGATGGATACATAGTAAGAGGTCACATGAAAGAAATAAGTCACATGAGCTGTTTGAGCTAATGGGGAGAAACATGCACGGCAGTTAGGTTTCCTAACAAGGGTCCAAATTCAAAGAATTCAATCACGGCAAGAGTGTGGCCAACGAGCTGTCTGCATCAGATGCCTCAGAGAGGGCTCCAGGGTTCCCCTTTCGGGTAAGGGCAAACGCCGTGTAACATCTGCTGACAGCTCTACATCCCGCAGAAGTCTTGCGTCTAATTTTTGGAAAGGCAGACTTTGTGGAAAGAAGGACAGATGGTGCTCACGCTCAGAGAGACTGTAGGGCAGGAGAGGTGCAGCAAGCGCCTCGCTCCAAGCCGAGGCCTCCTTTCCCAGGGGCGGAGGATAGGAAGGGGAAGAGGGGGAAGCGGGAGGGCAGAAGAGTGCAGGACCATCACCAGATTGGTCAGAGGTAGCTTGGGTATCACAGGGGAGGTGAGCCCTAACCTCTGGTAAACCCAAACAGCACAGCACCTCCTGGACGTGCTAGAGACCAACGTGCCACGACCCTGCTCTCAACATTTACCTGACGTTAAGGGATTTTACCGCAAAGTCTAGAGGCTGTACGTCAAAGGACCCAGGCAGAGATCTTCACTTTCATATTGGTTTCGGGATCCATCTTAGAGTGCCCTGCGGACCTTGAACTGCTGTAATGTCACCAGCACAGCAGCTGCATTTATACCTTTACTGCGGGTCAAAATCAACATGTCCTTAGTCGAGGAATCACTCATTTTTGGAGGAGAACCAAAAATGAAACAAACAACCCTTTATTTTCAGTTTTGCTTCGAACTGCAAAAAATGTTGTTTTTCAAATTTAAAAATTAGTTCTTCGTGTTTACTGTTTCCCATTTTATTTCAAGAATTTCATTGTTCTCCCCTTATCTCCTAGCTGGGGGACAGAAAAGTCAGGATAAAAAGAAGTCTAAGCCTGAGACAGTTTAGAAGAGAAAAAACAGTGCCTCAGGCAAGAAACCCGACCATCCTGAGAAGGCACCACTTAAGAAGACCTCTTATTCATCAAAAATTCATTTCAGAAGCACACCCAAACTAAGCAACCTATCAAACTTCAAAGAAAAAAAGACACGCAGTCTCCAATAGTACAGATGGGATGTACTACCGTCAAGCTTTTTTATAAACTTCTTGCCAAAAGGTCGGGAAGTTGGAGATGATGGTGGCTGTCTAATATCTTTCTTCACAGAAACCTGCAAATCCACTTGGATATAGTTTTACCAAGCATGAGCAGTTTTCAGTTGAAACGGTTTAAGGTATCTGCCTCAGGCAAAATAATTTTAACACCCT